CCTGGAGGGTCCTCTGCCTGGTGCCCTTTCCTGAGTGGGAGAAGTCAGTGGGGAGAGGAGGAGAAAAGGATAGGTTTTCCTGTGGCCCTGAGAGAGGCCTTTGTCCCTGTGCACACATCCTTTCCTCCAGTGTGGAAGTTCTCAGGCAGCACACCTGGAGAGTTCGGGACTCGGGGACTCGAATGACAGTTCCCCTGTGGCCGGGCTTAGGGAGCCTGGGGCTCTGACTGTTGCTGTCAGTGACCAGGGCCCTGTTGCTCAGGCACTGGAAGCCTTTGGGGGCAAGCGAAGGATCGCTGTGGCCCGAGGTGTGTCCCACTCCTGGGCAGGGCAGAGCCCTGTCATTCTCTCTCCCTGCTGTGCTGCCCCTTCCTGGGTGGCTTCAGCTGAATGTCCACAGTAACCCCATGTTAATCTCTTTTCAAATCTTGTTTACCCCCCCTCCCCCCAGATAAGAAGATAGAAAGATTGGACACGGATGATTTGGACGAGATTGAGAAAATAGCCAACTGAGAAGTGGCACCATCACTGGGGCCCACCCTTGGCACTGCCCTGTTTGGGAGACCAGTGCTTTCACTGCCCAGGCCTTGACAGTCACCACAAAGATGAAGGCATGAGAAGAGAGAAACTACCTACCTCATTTTAAATTATGTTTGGACTTAACAAAAATTTGTGCAAATAATGAGGGAAAATAGATAGAAATTTTTGCATTTTGGAAAATTTCTCCTCCTATTTTTCCTCCTATTTTTAAGCCACATTTTCCCCCATCATTAGGGTAACCTGGTCGCTATTGATAATGGCTGGTTCCAGGACCCCCTGCCTGTTTTTTGGCTAGGGGTGGTGGGAGCAGCCTCCAGCACCTAAAGAAATGATGGAGGTAGAAGTGGTGCGGCAGAGGCCAGGACGGAGCCAGCAAGCTGCAGCAGGGACCTGGGCACTGCCCCTCGGTTCCTTCACTGGAACCGTTTTCCTTCTCCTAAAATCCAGAGATGTTCCAGCTGGTCTGTGGCAGACAATATCCCTGTTTCTTCCTGATGAGCATCTTGGCTAGTTTTGTAAACTTCAGATTTGGGGAGAAACACAGAAGTCATTGAATCTCAGCCTCCTGAGAGTGATTGGTCTGTCAAGGGTAGATGAATCCTCTGAGGGTCTGGGCCTGCCTTCTCCTTCCACTTGCTTCATCTGCTCAGGCCCCTGTGCTCAGCCAGGAGATACCGGGTGATCTTCTGAACACACGCCTGGCCGAGTGAGTTATCCCTGAGCTGGCACAGCATGCCTGGAGCCAAGCAGCAGTTTGGAAAGGAAGTTACAATCAAGTGAAAACTCTGATTATGCTCTTCATCCGTAACGGTGGACTTTATGGGTTCTATTAATTCATACATAGTATGAATAAGGACAGATAAATTATAGCTATACGCATCATTCATTATGTTAAGCCATTTTAAAGTAATTATGAGAAACGCTTTACTAATCATGCTTTGTTTTTGTATTTTTCTGCTTATTAGACTGATATATACTCATTAAAAAATGTGTGCGTGTGTGTATAAAGTGACTGTGTGCTTTGCCCCCACCTCTCTGAGACCGCCATTGCCAGCAGCTCGGCACACATTCCACCATATTACCTGCTCTCTGCATCAACCCACCCACTTTTCTTTTACAAAAGCATGTGAACATTCTACTCATGCTTTTGTGCAACCTGCTTTATCTTGGACTTGTTGACTCATGCATAGTTGACATGTTGACACAGAGATCTACCTCACTTTGAAAAATGGCTGTCATTCCAGTGTGTAGCTGTCCTAGCATTAATTCCATGGTTCCTACAGTGAGAGGCCTATGGGGGTTTCCAACATGCTGCTGTTACAGTGGGTGATCACCTTTGTCCTTATGTTTAAGCACCGGTGAGACTCACCCTATGATATATTCGTGGAAGTAGAATTGTTGGGTCAAAGAGGGGGAGCTTTTAAAATTTTAATACATTGTCAATTAAGCCTGCCAAAAAGTTTTTACCAATTTACATTATTGCAGTAATACAAAAATACCTATCATCTCACCTGCTTGCCAACACTCTATATTATAATCAATTTTTAAAACTTTGCCAGATTAAGTAGCAAAAACAGGTGACGTCATTGCTTTTTTTTTTATTTAATGAGGCTTGGAAAATTTTCAGTTTACTGGATATTTGTATTTTCTCTTTGGGGGAGTGGCTCATTCTTGTCTCATTTATTATTGGATTGTCAGTCCTTAGTGATTTTTTGTTTTTGTTTGTTTGCTTTTTGGCAGCTGGCTGGTACAGGGATCGAACCCTGGACCTTGGTGTGATCAGCACCATGCTCTAACCAACTGCGCTAAGCAGCCAGCCCCCTCAATGATTTTTAGCAACCTTTGTATATTAGGGAAATTAGACTTTGTCTTGAGTGGTGAATGTTTTCCTAGTTTCTCTTTACAAACTTTTTTTCTCCCTGAGTCAAGTGAAGCAGCTAGAGTAGAGAAGGAACAAAGAAATCTGTGACTGGTTGTGATCAATTAGTTGTAAACACCACTTGCACTCAGACCCAGGTTTAATGCTACACAAAAGTTTTTGTTTGTTTGTTTTGTTTTTTTGTGGTTGGCTGGTGCAGGGACCCAAACCCATGACCTTGGTGTTACAAGGCAGTGCTCTAACCATTTTTTTTTTTTTTTTGTGGTTGGCTGGTGCAGGGACCCAAACCCATGACCTTGGTGTTACAAGGCAGTGCTCTAACCAACTGAGCTAACCGGCCAGGCCCCAAAATTTAATTTTTTTTTTTTTTTTTTAAAGATGACCAGTAAGGGGATCTTAACCCTCGGCTTGGTGTTGTCAGCACCACGCTCAGCCAGTGAGCAAACCGGCCATCCCTATATGGGATCCGAACCCGCGGCCTTGGTGTTATCAGCACCGCACTCTACCAAGTGAGCCACAGGCCGGCCCCCAAAATTTAATTATTAATGTCAGATTTTACTTTAAGGAAATCTGAATTTCATGTCATGCCTAGGAGAGCTGTCCTCATCACAGTACTATTTTAAAAAGTACCCACGTTTTCTGTAGAAGCTACTCTTGGGCAGTAAATTTCTAAATTCTTCTAGGTGTTAAAATGTTTGGCTCATTTGGCTGTGAGTGATCATGGTTCAATAGAGTGAGTGCGTGTCAGAGCTGTGGGCCTGCAGGCAGAATCATGGGGACGGGGTGAAGGCGAGAATAGCAGAGTTCCGGGTGGGAGCAGATTTGTGCAGGATCAGGCCAAAGACTGAGTGCCCACGTGGGGGAAAGTTACGGCAAGGCGCAGGGGACAGGGTGAGGTGGGTGCTGGAAAGGGAGACAGGAGGCCAGACCGTCAGAGCAACAGTTGACAGCCCACGCGTTGACACCTGCTCTGATCCAAACGCAGTCATGATACAGAAAACGTAAAAACAGAAAACACGCCATCTGATAAAGGCAAGAGATGTTTCCATGGACTAGCAATGGAACAAAAACGCAGGGTAAGCAGGGCTGAAGCCAAAAGCTTGTTGGGCTCTGTTCCAGAAACAGCCTAGCTGCAGGGTGTTAGGAAATGCCAGAACCAAAGCCAGGCTCCCTGCTTGCAGTGCACTGGGCTGAAACTTCCCCTTGTTGGTGGTGAGACTCATTAAGACACCCAGAAAAGGGACAGGAATGCTCAGACTCCACCTTGCTACAGTTAAGTGATGCTGTCCTGTTGACTGCCCACCTGCTTCTGTGACATCCCCACATCACTGATGGATAGGAACAGACCTGGTTCTAGAATAACAGCCAAAGAAGATGGAGAGCTGGATGAGCCAACTGCTATGAGCCAGCCAACTGATATGTATGTTGGGAGAGGAAATCAGGAAGAAAAGCTTTAAAATGAACCTGAAAATCTAAATTCAAATCTAATACTAAGAAAGTTCAAAACACAGCAAAGCAAATTCACCCCAGATAAAAAATTATATGGAATGGCCTGATAAGAGGCTTTAAGTATATTTGGATGCTCAAAGAAAAAAAGAAAAGAATACATTTCACTTTTTAAAAGAGCAAGAAATTATGAAGTTAATTTTGGCAAAAGCAGTGGTGTGCCCGCTCACTAGAGCGGCTTGTAAACCATTGGTAGTTTCACATTGGCCATGGTGGGAATATTTACACCATAGCAATCAGCAAATGCCACGAGTCAGGGGTTTCTGTTTGTTTTCAGAGCCAGTTTACCAAGCATATCATTGGGCAGACATAAGATTAGAAATTTGAGAAGTAAGAAAGGTAGTCACTGAAATTTAAAAAATAAAACTCAATAAATAAGAATACCAGATTTTTAATCCTAATGCTTTCATTTGAAGGACAAGAATAAAATCACAACTCAAATTTCTGTAGATTCATACAATAAAACTATTTCTTGCTATTAAGTCTAAGGTGGATGTTCCTGCTTGGGTGGCTCTACTGGACACTTCTCCTTGACTCCTTTCTTTTTGTTAGAATTTTTAAATAGACATTTTTTAGAATGGTTTTAGATTTACAGAAAAGTTGAGAAGACAGTACAAATTGTTCCCACATATCTTTCCCCATCCCATACCGTTTCCTCTATTGTTAATATTTCAGTTATTATAATTAAGAAATCAATATTGATACATTATTATTAACTAATGCCCACACTTTATTCATATTTCATCAGTTTTCCCCTACTGCTCTTTTTCTGTTCCAGCATCTCCTCCAGGATCCTAAATTCCATTTAATCGTTATGGCTCCTTAGGCTCCTGCTGGCTGTGACAGTTTCTCAGACTAGTCACTGATGACCCTGACAGTTATTATTTTTTTTTTTTTAAAGATGACCAGTAAGGGGATTTTTTTTTTTTGTCCTTTTTGAGACCGGCCTCACCACGCTCAGCCAGTGACCGTACCGGCCATCCCTATATAGGATCCGAACCCGCGGCCTTGGTGTTATCAGCACCGCACTCTCCCGAGTCACAGGCCGACCCCGACCCTGACAGTTTTGAGGAGTACTGGTCAGGTATTTTGTAGGATGCCCACTACTGGAATTTGTTTGATGTTTTTCTCAGGATCAGTCTGGGGTTATGGGTTGTGGGAGGAAGACCCCAGAGGTAAAGTGCATTTTCATCATATCGCATCAGGGGTTCATACGATCAATATGACTCATCACTGTTGCTCTTGACCTTGATCACCTGGATGAGGTAATCCCTGTAAAGCTACTTTTTTTTGTACAGCCCACACCTAAGTACTCGGGGGCTATGCTCTCCTTCTGTGAGGGCAGAGTAGCTACATAAATTATTTATAATTCTGTGAGGGAGATTTGTTTCTTCTTCCCACTGATTAACTTATTTAATTATGTATTTGTTTAAGTATAGACTGATGATGTTAACCTTGGTCACTTGGTTAAGGTGACTTTTTTTTTTTTTTTGTCTTTTTGTCTTTTTCCGTGTCCGGCAACGGATCGCAACCCTCAGTGTCGCCCCCGTACTGGACCGGGGACCGGCAACGGGATCGCAACCCTCGGTGTTGCTCCCACGCCTCGCTCAGCCAGTGAGCGGGAACCGGTCTGTATGTGGGATCCGAACCCTCAGGCGGGAGTGCCGCTGCGCTTCCCAAGCGGCGCACTATCCATTGCGCCACCGGGCCCGCCCCCCCCCGCCCCCCCCGGGCGCCCCCCCCCCACACCCGCCCCCCCGCCCCCCCCGGGCGCCCCCCCCCCACACCCGCCCCCCCGCCCCCCCC